TTCCTGCTGCTCACACTCAAGAAAACTCTGGGGAGCTGTGGGGTTGGTGGGTAAACGCCCCACAATATAGGATACAGTATATGTGGAGCTGGAGATGTGGCTGCATAGTTATGAGGACTGGCTGCTCTTCCAGAGGACCTGGGTTCAACTCCTAGCACTCACATGGTGATTCGTGATTCACAACTGTCTGTAACTCCAGTGCCAGAGAATCCAATACCCTCTCTAGGTACACAAGTGGTGCACAGACCTATATACATGCAGGCAAAACAACCATACATATTAAATAAAAAATAAAATAAAATACTAAGGCGGGCGGTGGTGGCTCATGCCTTTGATCCCAGCACTCGGGAGGCAGAGGCAGGCGGATCTCTGTGAGTTTGAGGCCAGCCTGGTCTACAGAGAGAGTTCCAGGACAGGCTTCCAAGCTACAACAGAAAAACCCTGTCTCAAAAAAACCAAATAAATAAATTAATTTTAAAAAATACTATATGCTAGCTCCACCTTAGTATCCGGTCCCATCAGGCAGCTTCCTGTAGATTCTAACACGTTTTGGGTGACCTACTAGTGGCAAGCTTGCCAGTAACAACTGGTGATCATCATACCTCATCCTGTTACTCTGTGATCATACCTCATCCTGTTACTCTGTGGGGCCTCTCAGGAGGGAGGGACAGAGAGAGAGAGAAACTGAGAAAAGTTGGGTTTGGTGGCCACACCCACAGTCCAGCACTCAGACTAAGGAGGATTCTGAATTTGAGGCTAGCCTGTACCACATATCGAGACCCTGAGACCCAGGATGAGATGAATACACATACCTGGCGTCCCACCCTGTTGTTGTGGATTCTCATTCTTGCCTGGATGTCCCGGGGAGCTTCTCTGGAATCCAAGAAATCCCGAGAGAACTTCTCTCCAAAGTCCATGTCGTGGTTACAGCCACCCCATTCCCACGTGTCCTGGGGGCCAGGGCTGGGGCCTGAGCCAGGGATAGGGCTGGGCTGGGAGTGTGGAAAACTCTTGCCTCGAGACAGTGCCTGAAGCTGCAGCAGCTTGGCCCGAAGCCGGTCCTGCTCACCGCTGCCCTTCCAGCCACAGCCGCAGCTCACCAGCTTGCCCAAGCTGCAGGCCGTAGCAACAGCATGCATGACCCCAGCAGCCAGCATGGAGAAGGAGAAAGCACTCTCCCGGAAACCTGGGGAGAAAATGGGTGTGAGCCTTGAGGTTTGCAGGCAGCTGAGGGGGGAAGGCAGGTGGGGGAGTGGGGGGAGGAACCAGCCAACCTCCAATATCAATATATATATTGAGATAGGGTCTTGCCATGTAGTCCAGGCTGGCCTTGAACACTTGACAAGCCCCCTGCCTCAGCCTCCCAAGTGCAAGGATTACAGGTGTGAGCCACCACCTTGCCCAGCCAGCCAATGTCAAAAATTTCTAACTAAATCCCGACTCCATCATTTACCAGCTGAGTGATTTGGGACGATGTCCTAAGACAAGGAATAGCACCAGGTCTCAGTTCCCTCCGCTATAAGAAGAGACCCATGGGGTCAAGATATGGCTAAAGCCAAACCTCTGAAAATCTGTCATTTTGGGGTGTGAATGTAAGAGAGAGCCTAGAGCAGTGGTTCTCCACCCTCCTGGTGCTGGGACCCTTTAACACAGTTCCTCATGCTGCAGTGACCCGTACCATAAAACTATTTCATTGCTACTTCATATCTGCAATTTTGCTACTGTTATGAGTCATAATGTAAATATCTGATGTGCAGGATATCTGTTATGTGGTCCCAGGGAAAGAGTCATTCACCCCCCTGTGGGGTTCATGACCCACGGGTTGAGAACCACTGGCCTAGGGAGCCCTCTGAGTTTCCCATGAGTCAGAGGGAGTCCTGAGGAGTTTTGAAGGTGTGTTCCAGGAGTTCTACACTTAAAAGCCTTAGAAATTCCCCAACCCTGCGGGGAGTTTAGCAGGAGGTGGGGGGTGGAGGGGGAACCTTTGGTTTGAGGGTTCTTCCCCCCCCACACACACACACACATACTTTATTAAATGAGTCTTTTGAGCAAGCTACCATGTACTGCCTCGGTAACAATCCTAACACACTGGAACTGCCCACCCCCTTCCCAGGTTCTAGTTTTTATATTTGCCCTTCAAGATTGCCCTCTATGTTTATTCTAACCTGCTATTACCTTATAAAACATTGGGAGGAGGAGAAAGGCCAGAGGGATTTTCCCCAAGGCCCTTTTAAAAGGTTGGCCTCTTATGTTTTTGGGGGTCACTGAGGAGGAGGCTTGGGGTGACAAGTCTTTCCCAGGCTTAGAGAGACATCCTCACCCTTGGAGTGTCAAAACCTTCCACGACACCAGCCCTGCAGAGAAGGAGGGGTCCCTCACTCCGTTTTAAGCAAGGGCTCTTTGGAGTTCTGGGAAGATGAAAGACAGTTGGAGACCAGGCGTCTCTTAGCAGGGAATCTAGGGCTCCAGGGCCAGCCTCAAGATCCCCCAACCATCCAAGGGTGAAGCTGTTTGCACACGTCTTGGGAATTCCCCTGCAGATGGCAGCTGCCTATTAACCCCATAGTCCCCAAAGCACTACCCTACCCTGGACTGAGCCCCGTGGATCTTTACTCCTCAGGGAGTAAACTCCAGTTGAGCATGGGGAGAGACAGTGGAGCCTCCCAGACCTTTCCTTCTAGACCAGGCCAGCAGTGACCTGTTCTCTGCCCCTCCAGCCATCCCTCACCTGTTCAGGTGAGGGACACCTGGGGCCCCCACAGCACAGAGGAGGGGGCTGCTCCCCAGCTTCAAAGCCGTCAGGGTCTTTGTTCCCAGCTTTGGCTCCTGGGAACCCCAGCAATTAGGGGAGCAGGTTTAACCCTTAAACGGTTGGGGGCGTCACCCCACCCCCGCTGAGACTCTGGGGACACCAGCCTGGGCTTGTCTGGGTGGAGAGGGAGGGGAGAGAAAACAGGGGGTAGAGGGGGTGTTTGAAGCTTCTTGGGTTGGGGGGCACCTCCCGTTCACAGGTGCATCCCAGATCGGGCTGGGTGGAGGCAGAAAAGCGAGGCCCTAGGGTAGGGGAGCAGGGACCCAGCTGCCTTGCCAGCGACGCAGGTGGAAGGCAGGCAGAGAGAGAGGCCCAGACGGGTGACCAGCCCCAGCTGAGCGCGGCTCCCGGGGAAATTCCCGGAGAGGCCCCTCCCGCAGCCGCGAACCGGTCCCTTCCCGCCTCCGCGCGCCTCGGCCTGCCCCCAACCCCTGGGCGGCAGCACAGCCAGCCAGCCCCGGCAGGGCTCACCGCGCTTGAGGATGGCGCTGTGGTGCGGCAGTCGGCCGCCGCCCTCCAGGGCCGAGCAGTTCCAGCGCTGGTCGCGCAGCTGATGCTGACACTCGTGGACGGCGATGTGCAGCCCTTGGAGCGCGGACGCCGTCACGTCGGGGCTGCGCAGGCACAGGCCCAGCTGCCGCTTACTCAGCCCGGACAGGGTCAAGCACACCGTGTTGGCCGTCAGCGGCGGCTCCCCGGGAAGTTTTAGGCCCAGAATCTCATTGCTTAGAGCCCTGAGAACAAGGGACAAGGCGTCTAGGGTCTAGTCACACGCCCTCCAACGACCCCCTAGCCCAGGTCGGTGATTTTCCCCCCCAAACTGGAAAAAGGCTCACCGACTCAACAAAGCCAACAACAGGAGACCCGCGAGGCCCAAGGGCGGAGGCCGAGACCCGGGCTCCTCCAGCATGTCGAAGCCCGGAGGCTCCGGTGGGCGGTGGGCGAATCAATCAGCGCCTGCGGGACAGGGATATCTGATGAAGAAGGGAATGGCTCCCTGGAACCCAAGGATGCTCCATTCCGGCTCCCTGAGACATCACTGTGGCCCCACTGACTTTTCTCATCTCTCCCCAAACTAAACAATAAGAGTCACCCCCGGACTTCCAGTGCCTGGGTCCTGGAACTCTTCAAAGAGGAAGGATCTAAGCAGTTCAGGGCCCTCGGGAGCGAGCGCCCCTGGGTCCTGAGACACTCACATGCGGACTTGCGACAGCTCCTCTCAGACCCTCGATCCCTCCTCCCCAACTGTTCCCTCTCTGAGGGCCCCACCACTGATGTGCCCGCCCTTACAGGGTTAGAGGGAGGGATCAGAAGGGGGTTCCCCACCACCTGGAGGGGTGTCGCCTCCTCGTGCTGGCAATACCAGGCCAGCTGGGTTAGAAGAGTCCGAGGCCAGGCGCTCTGACCCACTCTCTGACCTCCACGCCCAACGGGGAGCAAGGTCCAGGTGCCCCGAAGGCGACCGGGGAAACCAGGTACCCTCCGCAAACGCGGGTGCCTCTAGTTGAGTCCACTTCCCCATCCACACCCCCCTCACCCCCGCCAACTACACATTCCCACTGCAGAGTGCCACCCATCTGGTCCCCACCGGTTCCACCCCCATCCCCACCCCTTTGCCGGCGTCCATTGCCCTCTAAGTCCGAAGGCACTCCTTTATTCTGTAGGTGTATCTCCGGCTTTCTCTCTGTGCTCTTGAGGGTGGACGCTCGTCTGTCTGTCCGTCTGCCCGTGCCTGCCTAGTCTCTTCCCACCCTGTCCTCTACCGCCCCCATTACCTCCAGCGGTTCAGGTGCAGGATCCACAACACTCGCGGTTGGGTCACTCGGGCTTGGCTCGTGCGGCTTAAACGGTGGGGAGACTGGGTCGGGTTCGGCCCCCTCGGCAGAGCAGCATTCTTCCAGCGCCGGGCCACTCCTCTTCACCGCTTCTCCAGCGTCGCCGCGGCCGCCGCCGCCGCCGCCGCCGGGAGGAAGGGAGGGTGGAAGGGAGGGAGCGATCGAGACAGCGAGCGAGCGAGCGAGCGAACCCGCGACAAAGCACCGGGGGGCTTTGGCTCGGCTCGACCTAACTCACGGGTGGTTCTGCTGGAGCTGACGGAGCTGCTGCGGCCCCTCCCAGAGCCCGGGGCATCCCCACCCCACCCGCACCCCACCCCCTGCCTTGACCAGGGGAACGCAGCCGCTCCCCCCCAAAAGCGTACACACACACACACACACACACACACACACACACACCCTCTCCCCCGACGCCCGTGATCACGATTAGCCCCACTCCGGGGGAAAGCGGCTGCCGGAGGTCCTCTCACCTGCTCGGGGGTCTGAGAGGGTGCAGTGACCCTGACTAAGGAGCCAGGAACTGGTCCCAATGGCAATATCTTTCATCGTTTTTTCTTTGCCTCCGCTTGCCCACCGAGAGTGGGCGGCTGGAGAGCCCCTTTAACACGCTGACGACGGAGCTGGACGACCTTCGAGTTTCTGATAATCTCCTGTAGAGCCCAAGAGGCTATGCGCACCGGGGCACTGGGAGCCTGCAAGTGAGGAGCCACTGTGCGGCTTGGCTCCCGCCCACCTCGGAGCCACACGCCTGCCCCTTGGGAGGGGTCAGCTTTGGCCTGAGAATTTGGCCTCCGTCAAAAGCTCGGGTAGCTCCAAAGATCTCCAGTCTGCCCCTATGATTATCCCCTTCTCTTGTAGGCTTCCTCTCCAGGGTCTCCTATTCGGAATTCCTGAATGAACTCTTGAGATGGCCCAAATTCATGCTTCATGCTCGCACATTTGCTTTATAAGGGTTGAGGGGAGGCCTCGGGAATTCCAAATGGAACCCAACTCCAGGGCAGCTAGTAAAGAACCTGGCCTGGGTGCGCGCAGGCAGAGGCATGAACGCCTTACCTCTGGCGGCAGCGAAGGGGTTAGGCGCCACCACACTCCCGCCTGACTCACCCTCCTAGCTCTAACCACTGCGGACTATTTTTGCCAGAGAGGGGCCTCAGGCTTCCCAACCACCCCCAGCCCCTGCCAGACCGCAGCCCCAAGCACAGCACCGCGGCTGGCCCTGCGCACCCAAGGCACATGGACTCAGGGACGACCCCCCAGGAAACAGAAGCACAGGGCTGGTACCCACAACCACCACCCGTGGTGGCAAGCAGCAATGCTGGGCAGCCAGCCCCGGTCTGTATTCTTGCAAGTCTTGCCTCGGCCTGAAGGGACACCGCTGGCTAGGTGTCTAAAAAGTACAGAGGAGGTTAGGTCTGTGGGGCTATTCACTGCGTGCTGGGGAAGAGAGGTTCTAGAGCCAGTGTGCTAGACAGCCTGGACCACAGTAGGGTACTCTTTCTGATTGATTCCACCACCTCTGGAGTAGGGAAAGGCGGTCCAAGACCTCCTGAACCTCCTTCTCATTTAGGGGTAGAGGGCCAAACCATATATGACTTCTGAGGTGGACAAATACAATTTCAGTAGCTTTCATCCTTACTCCAGAATCCAGGATCCTCACCAGTACCCTATCCTCTTTCCTGCCTGTCAGTCTGGGACTCACCCAGGCCCCTGGAAGGGTATTTCACAGCCCTTTTCTCCATCAGTACCTTATGGACATTTATGTTTCTCCACGTGGCTGTGGTCCCATTCCCACTTTCAATTTTATTTTGTCTTGTTCCTATTTGTCCCCTCTCCGATGCTATCCTTGACTGGCTCCAGCATTTTGTCAGATGTAATGAAAGGGCTAAGAAAGGCAAGCTGGAAAGTGGTGGCCCACACTCTTAATCCCATCACTTGGGAGGCAGAGGCAGGTGGATCCCTGTGAGTTCAAGTCCAGCCTGGTCTGCATAGTGAGTTCCAGGACAGCCAGGACTATGTAGAGAGACCCTGTCTCAAAAAAAAAACAATAACAATAATAATGAAGGGGCTAAGGAAGATCAGCAGCCAGAGGCTCAACTTCTCAGTGGCCTGGGGGCTCCCCAAGTTGGGCTATCCCAATCCTAAGAGCTCCCCTGCGGTTCTCTCCTGGCTGAAGTCTAGTTCTCTGATAGAGGCTATGGGCAGGCAGTGGGTGGCCTGAGTTGGCCCTCGGTGCCCTCCTGCCGACCGTCTGGCCTGAGCACTGACCCACAGGCAGCTAGAGGGCGGTGGGACAGGCGGGGCCTGGAGAGGGCTGTGGGTGCACACCCATTGCCTAATACCCCAAGCACGCAGCCAGCTCCAAGAAAGAGGAGGAGCAGGAACCAGAGAGACCTTGACAAGGGTTGGGACCAAAAGACAAGAGGGGGTACAAAAGGGGGCCGCCATGGCTACGGGGAGGAAATGGGAGCAACCTGGTCCACCTTCCCTTCCATGAGAAAAGTAGAAGGTTACTCTTCCCCTCGTGAGGTCGGAGAGTGTAGCAAAACTCTGTGGGAAGAACATCGAGGCCCTGAAGGGCGGAGGAGTGTCAAATAAAAGAGTGGGGGCCTCTGGAGATGGGGGGGATCAAGAAACTGAGGCGGTGGCTACACTCGGGAACCTCCTCCCCCTCCCCCTCCCCTGATGTTTGCCTTGGCTGGGGTCTTGGGTGACTCATCTGTTGCTAAGCCGCTGATAGGGGCGGCCAGCCCAGGGAACCCAAATTATAGGCCCGGGAGGGATGGATGCGCCTGTGGCAGTGAGCTCAGCCCGGCTGCCTCCCTCCACCTCGCCGGTCTTCCACTGCAGTACCGAAGGCCACCACCCAGAGGCGCCAGAGATGTGGCAGACACACCTACTGGGCTCCAAGGAAACCCCCACGTTCGGCAGTTAGCCCCAACAAAGCTTGTGGACCACCCTAGGCAATTTTACCCCCTCGTCTACTAGAGGCCCTTGGATGGGCTGCCCATTCCCAGCCCGAAGCGTGGTGCCTGCTGCCTGGCCTGTGCTTCAAAGGCATGCCCAAGAACTCTGATCTTTCTAGATCCCAAGGTCTAAGCGAAGCTCCCTTCCCCCACCCCACCACCTCTCTCCAGGACCTATTACACCTATTCCGAGGGCCCTGTTTTGCTACTGCGTTTCTACTTCAATCCTTTGCAGTCAGCTGTAGCCAAAAGTGATAGAGAGATGCGGGTCACATGCGCCTGTAATAAGGAAGCTGAGGCAGGAAGATCGAGAATCCGAGGCCAGGGGACCGGAGAGATCAGCAGTGATGAGCGCTTGTTGCCCTTGAAGAACCCGCAGGTCCAGTCCCCAGCACCCACGTGGTGGCTCACAACCATTCATAATCCTAGTTCCATGGGATCCAACAGGCATGGGTGATGTGCACATACATGCATGCAGGCAAAACATTCATACTATAAAGAAAAATAAGTAAATCTAATAAATTTTAAAACAAGAGAGGATTCAAGGCCAGAGCTAGGAGTGGCAGCTCATGAGCCATGCCTTTAGTTTGAACACGGGAGAGGCCGGCCGAGGCACGTGGATCTCAGTGAGTTCAAGGCTAGCCTGGTATACATGGTGAATTCCAGGCTAGCCAGGGATACATAGTGAGAGCCTGCCTTACAACAACAACAATAATACCTCAAGATATCTAAGAAAGAAGATTCCAAAAGACAGAAAGGTACACAGACCTTGAGAAAGGACCACACTTGGTATGTTCAAAAGATCAGAGGGATCAGTGTGGGGGAGTAATTCTTAAGCGGAAAACTGAAGAACCAGAAAGTAATGGGGTCAGATCCGATGATGCCTTGTAAGCTACTGTAAAGGTTTTTGGCTTTTGAGTGAGATAAGGAATCATTGAATTTGGTCAGGGAAATTCATTTTTATTTGTTTACTTTTTAAATTGTGTGTGTTTGTAGGTGTGTCCTGGGAGGCCAGAGGTGCTGGAGTTACAAGGCACTTGTGAGCTGCCTGAAGTGGGCGCCGGGAATCGAACTCAGGCCATCAGCAAGAACAGCATGTGCTCTTAACCACTGAGCCATCTCTCCAGCCGCAACTTCATTTCTAGAAAGGATGGTCTTGACTACTGTTGGGAAAAGCATGAAGACTTGATAGGAAGAGGTGACCGTGGCTTCTACCACCACACAGCAGCTAGGGGGTGGAAGGGGGCCAGCTGCTGTGTGAACTTTACAGATTGAGGGTCAGGGTTTGCTAACAGCCTAACATGAAGTGTAAAACCCATAAGCCAAAGGTTGATTCTAAATTTAAAATTAAAAGATATATATAGTCATGTAGCTAGAGTTTTCCTGCCTGGCCCACAGTCAGGACAAATCTCTCTCACCTGCCAGTCCCACAGCCGCTCAGACCCGACCAAGTAAACACAGAGACTTATATTGGTTACAAACTGTATGGCCGTGGCACGCTTCTTGCTAACTGTTCTTACAGCTTAAATTAATCCATTTCTATTAATCTATACCTTGCCACATGGCTCGTGGCTTACCGGCATCTTCACATGCTGTTTCTCATCGTGGCAACTGGCAGTGTCTCTCTGACTCAGCCTTCCACTTTCCAGCTCTATTCTCCTCCTTGTCCCGCCTATACTTCCTGCCTGGCCACTGACCAATCAGTGATTCATTTATTGACTAATCAGCAACACATTTGCCATACAGACCATTCCACAGCATAGCCAGATAGTGGTGGCTACACCTTTAATCCCAGCACTTGGGAGGCAGAGCCAGGCAGATCTCTGAGTTCAAGGACAGCCTGGTCTACAGAGTGAGGTCCAGGGCAGCCAGGGCTATACAGAGAAACCCTGTCTCAGAAAAAAAAAATGATATATTATTATTTTATTCTATGTGTGTGGGTTCTTTCTTTGTTTTGTTTTGTTTTTTTTACTGTTTGTTTGTTTGTTTGAGACAGGGTTTCTCTGTGTAGTTTTGGTGCCTGTCCTGGATCTCATTCTGTGCTGGGATTAAAGGCGTGCGCCACCGTCACCGCCACCGCCACCGCCGAGCTGCATGTGGGTTCTTTATCTGTATGTCTGTAAACTACATGTGTGCCTCCTGCCTGCAGAGGCTAGTCCTGGTTCCAAGATTTTTGCCCTGGGGATGAAGGCCAGCGCTGTCATTTACTGAAAATGGCTGAAGAAAGAGGAAATTAAGCAATGGGGGGGATTAAGAATTAAGTGGTGTTGGACATGTGAACTTCAAGGCGCTTACTTAAGTGTTAGGAATACATTGGAGTCGGGGATTTAGCTCAGTGGTAGAGTGCTTGCCTAGCAAGCGCAAGGCCCTGGGTTTGGTCCTCAGCTCTGGAAAAAAAAAAAAGGAATACATCTAGAATTCATAGCCAGTTACAAATCAGGAAACATGGGGGCTGGAGAGATGGCTCAGCGGTTAAGAGCACTGGCTGCTCTTCCAGAGGACCTGGGTTCAACTCCTTCCCAGCACTTACATGGTACTTATAACCATCCGTAACTCCACTCCCCGGGTATCTAATGACTTCTGGACTCCACGGGCACCAGGAACACCAGTGGTACACAGACCATACCCATACATATTAAATACATAAAACAGGAAAAATGGAAGCTTGGAGTCAGAGAGTTTACTAGGTGAGTGAACAGGCCAAGACCAGCTCTCACTGGGAGTGCCTGAGTTAGCATTCTTGCTTCTTTCCTTCTTCTTTTTTCTTTTTTTTTTTTTTTTTTGGTTGAGTCACATGTAGCCCAGGCTAGCTTCAAACTCTATATGTAGCTAAATATGACCTTTGCTTCTCAAGTGGTAGGATTACAGGTGGGTGGCTGCACACCTGGCCTTATCTTTTCTTTATTTTTACCATATCCATGGTCCAGCTTAAAACACTACATATGCTAGGTAAGGTCATCTCTGTGTGTGTGTGTGTGTGTGTGTGTGTGTGTGTGTGTGTGTGTGTGTGTGTTATACACATTCATATGTGTGCACATGCAGAGGCCAGAGGTCAAGGTGAGACATCTTCCTCTATTGCTTTCTGCCTAATTTTTTTTTTATTTTTAATTTTTCATCTTCTTTCTCATTTTTACTTTGCTTATTATCAGTGTGAGGGGTGCTGAGTGTGCATCATGGTGAGCACCTGGATGTCAAGGACAGTTTTGTGAAGTCAGTTCTTCCTTTCTTTTTCCCACTTTGACACCAGTGGTCATAGATGATACAGTTTCCTGTTTTTCAGTCTGTTTCCCATCCCCATAGAATTATACCAATATATCCGATAAAAAAAAAAATGTATGACACCAGGCAGTGGTGGCACATGCCTTTAATCCCAGCACTCAGGAGGCAGAGGCAGGCAGATCTCTGTGAGATCCAGGACAGCCAGAACTACAGAGAGAAACCCTGTCCCGGAAGACAAAAAAAAAAAAAAAAAAAGGGGTGTATGTGACCCAGGCCTCCGTGATGAAAAATTCCTTGAAAACGAAGTCAGTTTACCCATGTATATTGATCATTCCCTTGAGCCATTTATGTGGGGCACTATTTGCAGAAACTCCTGACTTTTAGACCTGTGCAGGATACTGGACCATTCCACATTATCCCTCAGGAATGAATCTTTGGAGGAAGCAAGTATGCTAGGCTAAGATCAGGCCTGAGGAGGACATTTCCCTTAAAAACAAACAAACAAACAAACATTCCACCAAAGCTACATTTGGGTTCGTATAGATCTCATTTTGAAACATTCACACCTCGTGAGATGCCTCAGTGAGCAAAGGAATTGCCACCAAGTTTAATGACCTGAGTTCTGTCCCTGGGACCCACATAACGGAAGGGGAGAACCAACTCTTACAAGTCGTTCCCTGAGTATGCATGCTATTGCATTGTGTCTCTCTCTCTCTCATACACACACAGGCACACACACAATAAATGTGGTTTAAAAATTTTAGTTGAACACAAGTACCCCAGGAACAGTAACTAAATGTATCAACCATTTCTTCCATAGAGTGATTTGCGCCTCAGTGGGAAAGCCTGATCAACTCTGGGAGTCTGAGTTCTTTGGGATCAGACCTGGGTGCTCTAATCAGACACTGTACCAAACAAACAAACAAACCAGGAGAGATGGAACAAGAGGTCCCCAAAGACTTAAAAATCATTTTCTTGCCGGGCGGTGGTGGCACACGCCTTTAATCCCAGCACTCGGGAGGCAGAGCCAGGCGGATCTCTGTGAGTTCGAGGCCAGCCTGGGCTACCAAGTGAGTTCCAGGAAAGGCGCAAAGCTACACAGAGAAACCCTGTCTCGAAAAACCAAAAAAAAAAAAAAAAATCATTTTCTTTCTGTGTTGCTTTTGAAAAGGGACCACAGCCTGCTCTGCTGCAGACTGGCAAACCACTGAGCCGCTGACAAGTAGAGTCCACATAGGCTTTGAGCTCACATCTCTGGGGTGTCCGGCCTGAAGGAGCATCCCTCTAATCTCCACTCCAGAGGTAGAGGCTGGGAGATCAGAAGTTCAAGGCCAGTTTAGACTATATCTTGAATTTGAGGCCAGCCTAGGCTACTCGAAGACCTTATCTCAACAAATGAACAACAAAACAAAGAAAGGCTAGGAAGATGGCTCAGCATTTAAGAGCACTTGCAGAGGACCAAGATTTGACTCCCAGCACCCACTCAGTGGTTGACAACCGTCAGTAGCACCAGTTCCAGTGAATCTGACGCCCTCTTCTGGCCACTGTGGGCACTGCACACACATGGTACATTCGCAACATGTGGGCAAAATATTCATACACATAAAAATATTAAACAAGGGCTGGAGAAATGGCTCAGCGGTTAAGAGCACTGGTTGTTCTTGCAGAGGACCTGAGTTCAATTCCTAGCAACCACATGGTGGCTCCCAACCATCTGTATTGAGATCTGGTGCCCTCTTCTGGCATGTAGCAGAACACTGTATATGTAATAAATAAATCTTTTTTAAAAAAATTAAGCAAAAAAGACCCTCCCCTTCCCCCAGAAAATTAAAAGAAAAAAAAAGAATAACCACTGGGTTTGCTTTTGATTTTGAGATAGGATTTTACTATGTACCCCAGGCTGGCTGTGCTAGATCTCACTGTGTAGACCAGGCTGGCCTCAGACTCACAGGGATAACCTCACCTGCCTCTAACTTCCAAGTGCTGGGTTAAAGGCATGTACCACCACTCCTGGTCGCTCCAAGACTTTTTAATCCTCCTGCCTCGGCCTTCTAAGTTCTGGAATTGGCAGGCAAGTACCACCATGCAGAACTGGTCTGAGATTTATTCACTCTATTTTTCATTAATTATTAATTTGTTGCTACCCTATCTCAGGGTTGTCTCAAATTCGGAGCCATCTTCTTATATAAGACTTCCAAGCGCTGGGGTCACGGGCACACATGCTCCACCATGCCTGGCTGGTCTGGTTTTGTTTGTTTGTTCATTGAATTGCTTACATTTATCTGTTTCGAGTGTGTATGTACACGTGCAGAGATCAAAAGGTTTTAGATTCAGCTCTCCTTTCATCATGTGGGTCCCGGGGATTGAACTGGGGTCATCTGCCTTACCAGCAAACACTTTCACCTGCTTTTAATTTAGTGTATGATGTGTATGCGCTTGTACATGTATGCACACTCACATGTGAATGCCCCTGGAGTGGAGAGAGGAAGTTGGAGATGGAGTTATTGGTAGTTATAAACTGCCTGACCTGGGTGCTGGAAAAGAAACTCAGGTCCTCTGGAAGAGCAGCAAGTTCCCTCTCCCTCTCTGTCCTGGAACCCAATATGTAAACCATGCTGACCTTGAACTCAGCCTGCCTCTGCCTCCCGAGTGCTGGGATTAAAGGTGTGTGCCCCCATGCCTGGTCCTGCTTTTGTGTTTTGAGAGTGTCTCCTATATGCCTGGAGGTAGAAGATAACCTTGAACTTTTGCTCTTCCTGCCTCCTGAGTGCTGGGGTTACAGCCATGTGCCACCATTCCTGGTTTTTCCGTAGTCTGAAGATCTAACCCAGGGCTTTATACATGCTAAGCAAACGCTCTACCCCAGTCCCTGGGGACATAGCTTTAACATTGATTCATTTATTGGCTGGGACCTTGAACCTGGATCCACTGCCTCATCAATTGTTTCCTCTGTAAAATGGAAGAGAGGAAAAAATATTAGAATCCTCCAGGAGTGGGGGCTTCTCTGTGTGGCAATGGGGCATGATAATCAAGCTGCCAGTGCCCCCTGTATCTCACATCGGGAACAGCAGCCTGGAAATCCTAGGCTACCATGGCCCTGAAGATAACTGGGGTCTCAGGCAAGGAAGAGTGTGCGAAGGAAGAGTCACAGGACTGAGGATGGGGGGAAACAACAGAGCTTTGGGGCACTGCAGAAATCTGGGAGAAAAATCCAATGAAAAGCAGAAAACACATGGGAGGCACAAATTTGTTAACCTTTAAAAAAGAGATTTTATGTATGTGTGAGTGTTTTGCCTGCATGTATGTATGTGCACCTGTGTGTGCTTGGTGCTAGTGGGGTTCAAACAACACCTGACTCTGGAGTTCCAGGTCCCCGAGAGCCATCACGTGGGTGCTGAGAACAGAACCTGGAGCCTCTGCAAGAGCAGCCAGTGCTCTAAAGCACCAAAGCACCGACCCATCTCTCCAGGCCCCCACATTCCTTCATCTTGAGCTAGGCAGGCATGGTGGCACAGGCCTGGAATCCTGGCAGTCAGGTGACCATCATGGAATCTACACATTAAAATTCGGTGTTAGGTAGAGTCACACAGCAAGATCCTGTCACACAACCAGAAGCAGCCACGGAAACAAAACAAACCTGCTGTTGCAGGTCCCTTTCTCTCTTCCCAGTCCTCCTCATCACCTGACAATCGCTCCACTGTGCCATCCTTTCCGGGGCTAGTTGCCAGAGAAACCTGGCTCATCTTCATGACTCTTTCCACTAATGACATGCACAGGTTGACACACGCCGGAGAGAGACACCATAGGATGACACAAGGTACCCAGAGCGACAGAATGACACATGCATGCACATAGTTAATCTCCCCGCCCCCACACACACTCACTCATCCACCCACCTGCAAACACAGTCCCAGACACTCTCCATTCTTGAGTCAGGCTTCTGGACAGCTCCTGTCGTATCTCCCACCTCCTTCCTGACCCACTGCTTAAAACGGTGACTGTAGCAAAAATGACTTCATGATCTCCCTGTCCTGAGCCAAATTACAAAATGATTTGGAAAGGGCTCAAAACGCCCTTCTTTAGAAGTTTCTGGATACACCAATACACAGGAGCATGCACCTTCAGAACACATGTGTATTTCCACTTGGCCTCACATTGTGACACACAGACACTCGCACTCTCCTAGCCCACATAACGCAAACTGCTGCATGTTTATGAGTTCCTCTCTACCACGAGCTCGGTTTGGTCAGCCTACCCGACACCCCACGCCCGGGAATCCCTGACCACATCTCCACCCATGCTCTGTCTCTCTCTTTTCCTTCTCTGTCCCGCCGTCGGGGTTCCTGGGCGAGGAGGCATCTCCGCCCCGAGTCGCTGGCCAGAACCACAGCTTTTACCCCGCCATTCAGGATAAGGAAGAGAAGAGACCACAGCGGGAGGCGGGGGATGACAGGGTGACATCGAGGGGACAGCCCCACCGCGCGCGTGGGGAGGCGATTCAGGCTGCAGACAGGTTGTCCCGAAAGACTTGGTCTCCGCGCCCCCTGGCGGATGCTGGTCCCCGACGGGCTCCGGACGCGAAGAAGAGTGAGGCCGGCGCGCGTGGGAGGCCATCCCAAGGGGAGGGGTCGGCGGCCAGTGCAGACCTGGAGGCGGGGGCCACCAGGCAGGGGGCGGGGGTGAGCCCCGATGGCTAGCTAGTCCGTCAGCTCTTTGCTCAGACCGGCTAGAGCCACAGCCCCGCTCGCTCCTCATTGTCTGTGGCCCTGACCGGTGCGCCCTGGTGCCATAGTGCGGCCTGGAGGGGCAGCCTCTTCTCGTCATTGCAGTCAGAGCCGCAACTATAAGAGGCGGTGCCTCCCGCAGTGGCCGCTTCAGCCCAACAGCCAGGGCAGCAAACCATGCTGCCTGCGGCCCGCCTCCAGAGTTACTAGAGCCAGCCTGCGAACTCTCACAACTGCCCTCAGCGCCGCGTCCAGTCCCACCACCGTCGCGGGCAGCCACCAAAGCCGCCAGAACTGCAGCACAGAACCGGCAAGGCCAGGCAGGCCATGGGGCTCTGGGCGCTGCTGCCCAGCTGGGTTTCTGCTACTTTGCTACTGGCACTGACCGCCCTGCCCGCAGCCCTGGCCGCCAACAGCAGTGGCCGATGGTGGTAAGTGAGCTAGTACGGGGTCGCCACTTGTCCTGGGGCACAGAGCCAGGAACTGGCCCTACCCAGCTCCCACGCCGTGGGGATCACCAACCCACAGACTCCCTCCTGCACTATGACTTCACCACATCCAGGGTGCTCTCACCTAAAACTAACCCAAGGACCAGCTCTGCTGAAGTGGGGCGAATCATTCGCAGGCAGAAGCCCAGATACATCAGGCTCAGAGCCCACCCCATCTAATAAAACTCCTTCCCATGAGCACCAGGTCGGGCCTCATTGTGGTGGGTACTTAGGCGTCCCTCGGGTCTCGAACCGAAGAACCAGCTATTAGCTTGGAAAAGGGTGAGAAAAGGATGGGATTCCTAAACATTTCAAGGTGGGCAAGGCTGCAGGCTGGGATTCCTCTCCGGGGCTGTCTTGAAGGAAGATGGAAGCCATGCATGGACTCATAGTGCCTTCTCTGTCCACTCGTCACACCTAGGGGCTCAGTGGTACCAAACTCAAGAACCCGGGGAACTATTATTGATCCTCTATTGCTCTCTCTAGGCACACAGGCCCAGGCAAGGACAGGGTTGGTTCAGCCCGCGTGATTAATGTGCAGGCCCCTTCCCCAGACTGAGCCCTTATGCATCCATCCCACCAGGGGCATCGTGAACATAGCCTCCTCCACAAACCTGCTGACGGATTCCAAGAGTCTGCAGCTGGTCCTGGAGCCCAGTCTGCAGCTACTGAGCCGCAAGCAGCGGCGACTGATCCGACAGAACCCGGGGATCCTGCACAGCGTGAGTGGAGGGCTGCAGAGCGCCGTGCGAGAGTGCAAGTGGCAATTCCGGAACCGCCGCTGGAACTGCCCTACCGCTCCCGGGCCCCACCTCTTCGGCAAGATCGTCAACCGAGGTGGGTGCCCAGGAAAGCGACGTTTCCGGGATTAGGGGGAAAGCGGGGTCAGCTCCAGGGCATGGGCGGGCGAATGCAGGGAAGATGTCTCAGATGTCCTAGGGTTCCGCGATCCACCTGCGGACGGCCAGATGCCCTGCGCTCACGCTCATAGGTCAGACTTAGGCTCCAGGTTCTTTCCAGCCAGGCATTTTGAGCATGATCTTTAACTTTTCTGAGCCACTGACCCACAGAAAGGGAATTCCGGATCGTGGGCGCTGGGCGACAGTTAACCTTTTCCAGCCTCCCTCAAAGGTGCCTTGGGAAACTGCTCGCTGAGGGCCGGGGTTGTGCTTCGCACTCAGCAAAGTTTGCTCTGCCAACACCGACCGACCGAGAGTTTGGTCTAGTAGAGTTCTTGGCTATGCAGAGTTGATCTACTTGGGATATCCTCTTTGGAGCTGTCCCACTTACGCTCTAGACTCCCATTAAAGCATGGTGAGAAGTGTATTCATGGATTCACGCACGCGCACCTGCTTTCTCTATGAGACCTGGAGACCAGCTTTTCAGCACTTCGGCCTATCTGTTGTAGGTTGTCAGGCCTCCAAGGGCCGAGTCCAGGTGTTGGACTGTAGGGTACCAAGCCTTTCAAAGAGGGTGCTGACCCGGCTCCACGAGGCCTCTCAACTGGTGCGGGGTCGCTTCACTCACAGGCTGCCGGGAAACAGCATTTATCTTCGCAATCACCTCCGCCGGGGTCACACATTCGGTGGCGCGCTCCTGCTCCGAAGGTTCCATTGAGTCTTGCACCTGCGACTACCGGCGGCGTGGCCCTGGGGGCCCCGACTGGCACTGGGGGGGCTGCAGCGACAACATCGATTTCGGCCGCCTCTTCGGTCGAGAATTCGTGGACTCTGGGGAGAAGGGGAGGGACCTGCGCTTCCTCATGAACCTTCACAACAACGAGGCAGGGCGCACGGTATGTCGGTATGTCGGTATGTCCGGCTGTACGCTGGAGCCAGTGGCAGGAGCGGAGGTGGAGTGGAGTAACGGTCCAGGATAAGGACAGAGGCACACGGAGAGGGCTTCCTGAGGGAGTGGGAGTCTAGGAGGGAAGACGGAGAAGAGGTGGTGGCCGAGGGCAAAGGGATCCCTGATCTGATGACAGACTAGGTTAGGTTAACAGTCAGTGCAACACATAGGATGTATTGCGATGGTTCCGTGGCACGCTTTTGAAAAATAAAACTGACTCGCTGGTGTGGCGCTGTCTGGCCCCATTTCAAGCAGGCCATTTCGCACTTCCGCTCCCCTGGACTTAGTTACACCTGGACCTTGGTTGAGGTTTCCACAGCAGTCACGACGGGGTGGGGGTGGGGGGTGGGGTGGAGTTGGAGTGGGTGGTGGTATGTAGGATGTTGGCTTTGACCCTGCGACATTTTTTCCTTCCCTCCTTCCCTCCTCCCCCAGACCGTGTTCTCCGAGATGCGCCAGGAGTGCAAATGCCACGGGATGTCCGGCTCGTGCACGGTGCGCACGTGTTGGATGCGACTGCCCACGCTGCGCGCCGTGGGCGACGTGCTGCGCGACCGCTTCGACGGCGCCTCCCGCGTCCTGTACGGCAACCGGGGCAACAACCGCGCTTCGCGGGCGGAGCTGCTGCGCCTGGAGCCCGAAGACCCGGCGCACAAGCCGCCCTCCCCTCACGACCTCGTCTACTTCGAGAAGTCGCCCAACTTCTGCACCTACAGCGGACGCCTGGGCACAGCCGGCACAGCCGGGCGTGCTTGCAACAGCTCGTCTCCGGCTCTGGACGGCTGCGAGCTGCTGTGCTGCGGCCGGGGCCACCGCACGCGCACGCAGCGCGTCACGGAGCGTTGCAACTGCACCTTCCACTGGTGCTGCCACGTCAGCTGCCGCAACTGCACGCACACGCGCGTGCTGCACGAGTGTCTGTGAGGCGTTGCGCCCCCGGGAACGCTTCCCCTGACCAGCTCTCTGGCACTCGAGAGACCCACCCCATTCGCCCACCCTGGCACCTCCAGTCACGTTCCCGAGGTTCACAGTGACCCATCTCTCCCACCTCCTACCTGGGGGCTCCTTAAACCACTTGCCTGAGGCAGTAGGAACCCTTTTGCCATCCTGAGGGCCCTGCCTCAACCTACCTCCCTCCCTCTTGGTGGGAGACCCCTTGTTGCACGGCCCCCTATTTGGTCAGGGGGCGAGAGGAGGGTTCCTCTTCTCCTGGGGGAGGGGGGTCAGTTATGAGGTGGAGGTGTTGCAGTCCCAGCTGTACTGTGTCAGTGACCTCCCAATCTCATTCCACCTCTTCTTCCGCTCTCCCAGCGTCCCTACAGGCCCCTTCCATTCATTGTCTAGCCAGCACACCTGGGCAGCAGGGTCTCCCCCCCCCCCACCCGTAGCTGAAGTCAGAGGTTCCAGGGTGAAAGGGCGGCTGTGATGATGTGGGAAATAAGGTTAGAAAACCCAGCAGAAAAAGCTCCATTCCCCTAGTCTCTGTAACGGAGCCACTGAACAGCTGTGAAGCATGCCTCCTTCAGCCACCTCCCACCCCTTCCTGTCCTGCCTCCTCATCAGTGTGTAAATAATTTGCACTGAAACGTGGATACAAAGCCACGAGTTTGGTTATGTAAATAAAACTATTTATTGTGCCGGGTTCCAGCCTGGCTTGCAGAGACCGCCTTCACCCCGACTCCTCTGTTCTGCCCTTAACCTCGTTGTTATCCAACTTTTTTTTCTTTTACCCAGTTTCTCAAAGATGCCCTTGCCCACCGGATCAGTATTTCCTTCCACTGTAGCTATTAGTGGCTCTTCACCCCCATCAATGTATCTTTCTCTGAAGAATAAAATCGCTATTTTTATCAATGACTCTGTTCCATGAATCCAGAACACAACGAGGTTTACAGTGCCCGCCCCCCAAGGATACTTACTTTTCTTAATCAAATAGAAGAGATATATTGTTGAAGAACTCTTTTCCTGGTCCCAAAAGAGGACCCTGAAATTCTGACCCTTGGGTGACCTTAACTGGGGCCACTAGGGATCCAGGTCTCCCGAGAGACCTGCCTGCCCAGGAGCCCATGCGGGGCTCTCCTGCCTAGCCTAGCAGCAGCTCTTTGTGTGAGGAGAACAAATATGTCAACTTGGTGGGGATCAAACAGACCAACAGTCTACTTCTCCTACCTGAAAGAGTTGGGACAATGGTTACAACAGAATGATGGCTGTGACCATGTCCTGAAAAACAGAAAGAAAAGCCCAAACTGAAAGGGTGTCCTTGTCCCTGAGGTAGAGGTCCTCTTTTCCTGGGGTCTAGGCTTTGGGCAGTGGAAAGGCACATGCTTGTACAGGACGTGGAAATACCTTATGAGCACCCCAACTCTAGCCTTGGGGTAAGGAAGATCCAGGTAGCAAGTCATGGGCCCTAGACCTGGACCGGAAGCTTACAGACACTGGCATGTATGATGAAGAAGAGATGAGCGGAGGCCTCAGCATCCAAACAGGAGTGGGCCTTAAAGTGGCAGAACCCCAAAGAAACCCAAGAGTGGCTGGTCCACAACCAAATCACTAAGCCAGCAGCTCCCACAGAGAGCCAGAAAGAGGGCTCCTCTGTTAACAGTACCTGCAGGACACCTCTGCTCACAGTCACCGGTCAGTAGGATAAGAATCCTGCTCACACTGCTAAACCTGACTCCAGTTCTTTCTTCCTGCCTTCCTTGTCAAACCATACCCTTAGCCCTCGTGAAGGAAACATGAATCTTTCCTAAACTCTATGGCTTGTCCTTCACCATAGCCCCTTCCGCACAAGAGATGACCAGAAAGACAGGAACGGAAGCGACCAGAACATCCACCTTTGCAAGAGCAATCACTGATCTCAGCCAACTTGAGAGTTTCTTCTTCTTCCCAGGGTCCTTTGCTGTCTTTGAAGGCTACCACTACTCCCTGGAGGGTGTGAACTATGACCTCTGTTGGTTCTGAGCTCTGTGTATGGGGAGGAAAGTAGATTCAGGGCCTGCTCAATCCTACAGTGACATTTCTTTCTCTTTCTTTCCATTGGCAGAACTAGCACCAACTAGCACCCTCTCAGTTCTGATGAGTGGACCCAATTTGGAATAGCAGACATCTAAAAGGCCCTGGGTTGGCCAGCAGAGGCAGTGGCTCAGGCCTTTAATCCCAGCACTCAGGAGGCAGAGGCAGGTGGATCTCTGTGAGTTTCAGGCCAGCCTGTGCTACAGAGTGAGATCCAGAACAGGCTCCCAAAAAGGCCCTGGGTTTCCAGTGAAGGTCATCCAGCAGAGAAGTTAGTGGGCTGTCCCAGGGTGCGTGTGTGTGTGTGTGTGTGTGTGTGTGTGTGTGTGTGTGTGTGTGTAAGTTTTGGGGGCACCTCTAGACAATGCCCAGTGGTAGGGAGAAGCAACAGGGTGGGTCAACCAGGCTGTGTCCAACCACACTCACCTAACTCCTAACTCCAGGAGCTGGAGCTCGTGGAAACTGGGGTCCTGAGCTGAGCTGACTTGCAGGAGTTGGAAGAAGAGCTCTCTCTTTCTCTGTCTCTCTCTGACTACCTCTGTCTCTGTCTCTCTCTCTCCTTCTCTGTTCCTAAATAGGTGTTCAGCATATCTCTTGCTTTCTCAGTCTCCATCGCCTTGACGGTTAATTGGGAATAGCCATCATTGCCCTTTAAGCAGGTGATAAGGTTTAAGTGAGACAGTGTTTGTGACGGCTTGGGTCATGTGAACAATGACTGATACCTTTTCTGGACCAGCCATGTGTCAAATGTTGGCAGTACAGTGATGTGTAAGCCAGAGACCCAGTCAGGGGATCAACCATGCCAATAAACATTGTCAGCATAACTGGGGGAGGGCAGTTTACAGGGAAAGGCCCTCTGTGTGCACAGGAAATTTGAGGACAAAGTCTAGTACCCTATCCTTCAGCATGGCAAACACCCTTCTCTTCCAGGGGCTGGAATTTGGAAGAAGGTTGCCATAGTGAAAACACAGAATAAGGCTATGTCCTAACAGAGAATTCACAAATAAAATAAAGCTTCACGTAGAAGGGCTGGGAGTGCGACTCGATGGTAGAGCATGTGTGAGGACCTGGGTTTGATCCCCAGCACTTGGTGGAGGTAAAGGAGCTCTGGGGTCTACAAGCACAGTCCAGGAGCTGAGTATTAACCTGTGTTATCTGTGCTGCTCTCACTTGGAACTGGAATCAGTAGATCAGCAGATCTGATGTTGGCTTCGGGTGAGGGCTATACCTAGAAAGAGTCTCAGGGCTCGAAACACCAGGTGATGGCCGTAAGATAGGCAGTCGGTGGTGGCGCATGCCTTTAATTCCAGCAATTCGGGAGGCAGAGGCAGGCAGATCTCTGTGAGTTCGAGGCCAGCCTGGTCTACAGAGTTAGTTCCAGGACAGAGAAACCATGTCTTGAAAAGCCAAAAAAAAAAAAAAAAAAAAAAGATAAGATGACCTCTTCAGGAATGTGCCTGAGGAACCTTCCTGCAACTTCCACCCACTTCTGATCATCAGGTGCCACACAAATACACACCAGGGGGATCTGGGGTTGGCGAGGACCCTGGACACAAAGCTGACCTCAGTAAATGCTGCAGGGACTAGTCCTGAAATATCCCAGGGGTGGCGGAAAAGCTGGGACAACAGAGATGGCAGGCTGCACAGTCCCTGGGGGGGGGGGGGTCAGCAAGCCGACTCCATGAACACCCCGCCGCTTGCACCTTGGAAAAACCCAGTCAGTGGGGCTGCAAATACCCTAGGGTGCAGCCCCCCTTCCCTATGGCCCCAGGCAGGCTCAGTCCTCTCCTCCAGGCCAGAGGGAGAAAAATAACAAAATGAGGAGAAAATAAGCTGTTTGGCTGTGGTGTGAGCAGGAATATCCGTGCAGAGCTGCCCACCACGCACCCTCACTCACTTTTTCCACACCCAGCCAGGGCCCAGCATGAGACAGACCACCCCCTTGCCCCCTCCCCCGTCTGGTCTAAAAGCAGACACACTGGGTTGGTGAGAGAGCAGCAGGTTATAAATATGCCCAGGGAACTGCCGCCAACTCGCTCCCCTGTCATTCCCTGGGAGGGGGGTAGGGTGGGGTGGCATCTAAGGAGGAGCCAGGGCTGCCCTATTCCCTGAGGCCCAGGAGGAAGTGGGACTTCCAACCAGCTACTGCAATATTTATTTATTTATACCTTTCCCAGGTGAATGACCCGCCGCTCTTACACATACATTTGGACTTTTGTTTATCTCACACACGGGGGTTCCCCACCCTCCCTGGTACTGTGGCCACAGTCCAGCATGAAAGGGCTCAGCCGGGCACTCAGTGTCAAGGTGCAACCCCGGGCTGCTTCTTTTCCTTACACCCTTCAGAAAATAGCTCATTCACTCATTCATTCATTCACTCACTGAGCAGGTTTTTCCCGAGGTGTGCACATACAACTGCTGTCACGAGTGTGCGCACGCACGCACGCACGCGCGCACATTCTATTCCTGTGTGTTCACATCAGCTCCAGCCTCTCCTGCATGCAGGGTCCTCTGCCTTTAACCCGGCAGCCTCCTGGAGTGGGGCGGGGTGAGGTTGGCTATCTGGTATCAGCATTGTCTCAGAGTCGTATGAGGGGCTGGAGAAAGGGGGCTGAGAATAAGACCCCTCAATGTGCTGCCTCCTTTACTTTTCGTGGTAGATAGGTCTCTTTCTCTTCCCTTTATCCTCGCCGTGACTGCAGTGTGCCAGCACGTAGGAAGGGAGAGCCATTCTGTGGGATGCTGAGGGTTCCGACTCAGGAGAGCCTCCTGCCTCCCAGACACTTGCGAAGTAGGTGCCCATCTAGGCAAGAGGGGCAGCCCTCCTCTTCCAGGGCCGGACCCCTCCCTCCTCCCTCCTCCCTATTAATCCTCGGAAGTGAAGGGGCCGTCCTTGGCGGCCCTTCAGCCCTATTGTGGCCCCTCGCCCTCTTGGGCTGGCGTCTAATTAACTCCTCCTGCCTCTGGTTTTGTGTGCCCCCCTTACTCTACCTTGTCGGCCCCGCCCCTCCGCTCGGCCCGCTCCCCCCGACGGACATTCCTGTCAGGCCGGGCCAGTGTGCCAGGGCAACCAGGGCCAGACCGAGGCCTAATCCCCCCTCCGCCTGGCCGGGCTCAGGGAGCCCCACTCACCTCCCGGCTCTCTGGGGGCTGCTCGGCTCTGCTGTGGCGGAGACGCACAATCAGGACAAAGGCACAGCCCCCAGGGGGCTAACTCAGCCTTCACGCCCAGGTTGTGCGGCATTTGGGGAGTTTAATGAATTGTCCATCACGCCTTTCAGGGCCCGCCCGTCAGCCTGGATTAATCTTCGGAGCCCTGGTGGGGTAGGAGACACTAAGCCTGTATTTATTACTCTGCCATTGTCACTAATTGAGGTAATTATCTGTGACTCTGGCCTGGCCAACAATGCTGCATTCACTCCTGGGACCTCGATGGGCCTGGCTCCCACTCTCCCGCACTAACCCTCCCTCCCTTCTTCTCCAAAACGCGCCAAGGCCTAAGATGGGCCCTGGAGCATGTTGGGAAAGTGGACAGCATGCCACAATGTTCCACCTTCAAGAGTGTCTCCTGAAGCCTCCACCACTATGAAGATGTGTTGAGGAGAAACCTGATTCTCCTAAAGTAGATCAGAAAAGAAAGCAGACAGGTTTGTCAGGCAGAGCCTTCAAAGTCACAGCCAGGCTGGCACTCCTCATTTGTGGGTAGGAGGCACCAAGCTGCCCCTGTAGCCTCCAGGACTCTGGAGTGTTAGGAAGCATACTATTCCCTACTAGGTGTACTCTGAAGAGGTCCCAGAAGCTACCAGAGCTGACAGAGTGACTGTGGGTATGTTGGAGA